AACAAAATCAAAAAACATTTAACGTCAGTCTTAAATTCACTTTTTTTTTTTTTTTTTTTTTTTTTGTGACAGTTATGAAACAGTGAGGACCTCCAACGGATCTGACTGGATTGGAGGAAGCACAATTTGCATTTACGTGCTGCGGTAGATCAAATAGAAAGAGTTTGATTCCAATTCCATTCTGGTATCATTCAGTTGAACATGGGGAAAATGTTATCGATTAAAGAGTCCACTGGTGCTAATGGCCTACTCTACTTTTCTGTCTTTTTCCACAGTGGAGAAAATCTGGCATTCCAAAGTAACCCATCTTTAAGCAAACTCGGGCCTTCCGTATCGAAAATTCAAGAGAAATTTAGAGCCATGAGTCTTGGAAAACTTCCTCGGATTAAGAGCCTCGTGTCTGGCTCCCAGGAGAGACGTCGTTTCAAGAGCGACCTCTCCGTGGACATGATCAGCCCGCCGCTGGGCGACTTCCGACACACAATGCACGTCGGCCGCGGCGGGGACGTGTTTGGTGACACGTCTTTTCTGAGCAACTACGGAGGAGGCGTCAGAGAGCCGGGCAGTCCCGACTCATCAAACAGCTCCAAATCGACGGGCTTCTTCACACGCACCTTCAGGCACATACGGAAGAATTCTGGGCCACGGGGGGAACTCCGGGACTGTTCATCTCCGCCGCCGGACATCTCACCCATCATCAAGAATGCCATGTCCCTGCCTCAACTCAACGTTGATTCTCCCAATGGGTGCTTGCAGAGGGTCACGCTCCCGAATTCCATCAGCTCAACAGACAGCGCCATCTGCACATATGGTGAGATCATGGTGTGAGTCACTCACCTCTCGTGTAGGATGGGGTTTCTGTCAGGCGTTTATGCAAAAGAATCATCCGAGTCAAAAAAAATCAAAAAAGGAAACATTTCACTTTATTTGGCTTCGGTTATGCTTGAGCCACGTGCAGCAAAATGGAGCAATTAAAGGTACCATGCACCCGGTGATGGTCAAGCTGCTAGCGAGATGAGAACGTAGCCTGACTTCAACTTCGGTTGTGTCCCCAACCAAAGCGATGCCCCTCATCAATGTGCATGCGACATGCAGCTGGAAGGATAATGTGTGCAAGCAGACGTCAGCTAAGGCTGCCACGTTGGTAGCCGGGCTTATTCCAAGTTAGAAAGTTGGCAAACATGAAATGTGACTGGTTTGATGTTGTATTTTGAGGAATGGACAATCAATGAAAAATAGAGGAGAGGTGGTCATCTCCACCAACGATCGGCTGAGAATGAGGACTCATATTGGCTTTCCCGGTCCAGCGATGCAGCTTTCTGCATAGAAAATCATTCTTACAGTACATATCTTTAACCTATATGTACGTGAAGTGCATGGAAAAAATAACTGACACATTATTCAGTCATGCTTTCTGTACCTACGGCAACTGGTTGTCCAATTTTTCAGAGTTGACCATTGAATATTAAGTTAGAGCAACCAACACTGCTGAATGACAATCAACTGAAAAATCCACCGTAGTACAATTTACGATGAAGGATCTCTTGCTTCTTGCTGCGCTTGCCATTCACTCTACAGAAGGGCAAACAGCGTGAAGAGCCGCATACAAAAACAGGACAATAAATGTCACCACACACACACACACACACACACACACACACACACACACACACACACACACACACACACACACAGGAGCACTAAGTTGGCCTTTCAACATCATTCCCACAATCCCCCAGGACAACCAAAAACCAGGCGGCCGTTTCCCTTCTGACTCATTCCAAATTACAGAGGCAACACCGGTAAAGTTACGCCTATTAACACAAACACACAGCAGCTGCAGGATACCAAATAAAAAAATAAAAAATGACTGCATCCTTTATGACCATTGCCTCATTCATCTCCATGTAAGTGGCACTGTCTGCAATTGTGCACGCACAACATGATTCATTTTATATGCTAAGCAAACACAAATGTCCGTGGAGCAGTATGCAGGTTTTCTACTTTTCCAAGAGTCAACATGAACCACGCCGCCAAAGGAATTTGCTACAACTTTACGTGGCATTAAGCGTTAGTCAATTGAGGGATGATGATGGCATAACTGTTTATGTTGTTTTTAGCTTTAGCGCCGTATCTTATCAATTGGTATTTATCAGTCATCGTTTGTACAAAATGTGATTTCAATTCTTCATTCGATAACAGATATCTGTCACGTGATGAGATGTTTCCATGGACATCTAAGTGGGTTTTCCCCCTTGTGTGTGCAGGTATCCAATCCGGATTTGTCACTTTGCCACGCTGCTCTCGCCTTGACAGACCGTTTCTCGACGGAGAACTGCGAGTGTCTGTGCGAGAACGAAACGGCAAGGCCTTGACCCGGTCGGACTCCCTCACCTCTTTCACGTTGGACCTGGGCCCCTCCCTGATGACCGAAGTTCTGGGTTTGTTTGACAACCCCGGCTACCTCCAGGGGGCCAGCCAGGTGGCAGCAACTGAGGAGAAAGACAAAAATGACGGTGAGGAGGCGGAGGAGGATAACAGATCCCTAACGGAGACATTTGTGAGCCCTGCTGTGAGTTCCACGAACTCCTCGGTGCGCAGCGGGTCATCGAGAAGGAACGGTAAGGAGCACTCGTGTAGCGGTAGCGGGACGGAGGAGGACAGGAGGTCAGTTGCCGCATCCTCCAAATCTCCTCCGAGGTCTCCCCCCAAACGAGAAGCTGCCATGGAGTCGGAGCGCTTCCAGAGGGCAGCCGACGTGCTGTCTCGACATTACGGCGGAGGCGCCGTCACAAGGCTCAGTCCTCCTCTTTCCAAAACGCCATACACGTTTTCTGAAGAGGAAGAGGAAATCAAAGTGTAAATGAGGATTATCCGCTCTGCAATAATCTTGCTTCCGCCATTTTATACAACAGATTTCTAAGCTATTGTAATAGTTCCATAATGTTACGTGTTTTTTTTTTTGTTGTAAATACCTGGTTTAGAGATTTAGCTTTGTTAGTGTCAAGGAATTAAAAGGGATTCGCACACTTCACTTTGCATACTTTACGAATAGTAAATGCAATTTATACAAAAACTTTAAACATCTAAACACATGATGTGAATTGTGTTTTCTTGGGAATATTCCGCTGACATGTTTACTGTTAAAACAAAAGAAAATACTGTACAAATAAAAACATGTTCCTAATTGTTGTTGTTCTTAAAGTATTTGCTGACCGGTTTAGTCAAATACAACTCTACTTATCTCCAATATTATATTGCACTAATCCCTGTCTTAATATATGTGGGCCGATGTTAAAATGTCAGTCAGAGTGCTCCACGTTCTTACTTGATCTTGATCAATTATGAGTGATTATTTTGGATACATATTTCAATCTAATAAAACAAAGACAGAGATGTAAGATGTGTCGTGCCACTCATAATTTAATGTCAAAAAGCCACATGTAGCCAAAGCAATCTAGTACAAATGAATCCATGAGAGAGAGATTTGTTTTTGTTTTTTGGTAGTTTGGAGATGGCCTGGCATATAAAGGTGGGTGAAATATTTCACAAGTTGAATTGGCATCAAAATGGGGAATGCTTACATTTTTATGACAACAAATAAAAGTGAGAATTCATTGTACACATCTTAACAGATTTTTATGCAAGTGACTTTGAAGTCTCCTGTGATTTTGACATAGTCGATGGCCGCCATGTCACCACGGTTCGGAAACTGGATTTCGTATCCATCGGGAAGTTCGACTTCAAACATATCACCGGTGAGCTTCAACACAATCTGGAAGAGAAAACATACTTTTCAATCTAATCCTCAAACTGTCTTTTTGTAGTTATTATTCATTTTAAGAACTCTTTCAATACATCATAGCAAATTTCAGACTACCTCACCTTAACATGTGTGCCTCTATGCAGAGGGTTGTGCATTTCTCTTTTCTCCTCTCCCCAGCAGCCAGCAATCTTTGAGTTGCACACAATAACCGCTCCATCGGTGTCATCGTGAAATCGCGGGTTGAAATGCAAAGCCAGGTCTTGTGAATCATAGCCAAGGTCAATCTGGAATCTGAGTGGATTATGAAAAAAATACAAAGCACTTTAATGCACCCACACCCAATCAATCTACAGCTTTATATGACTGAGAAAGGACTCAATAACTCGTGAGTGATAATGATCATGCAATGTTTTTTTTTTCTAGCAACATACAGCACATACACAAGAGAAGTATAAAATGATTGTTGAGTTTACCTTTGAGCATCAGGCAAAATTTCTCCCTTTATCTTCAGACGAGCCCCAACTTTAAGGTTTACATTGCTCATTTCAAATTTCTAAGAAACAAGAGTAAGACACAGTAGCTTAGGCAAGTTGAAGTTAAAATGTAATCATATTCAACGTAAAAAAAAAAAGCAGCGCCAGATAAACTCACCGCGCTCATTATGGGTGTTGGTTCAGACTCTAAAGTACTGACAAGGCAACGATGAACGCTCCTGCAACACAAAAGTATGGCTGTGAGGTTTCGTTTTTTGTTTATAAAGTGTAGAACATGCACAGTTCCATTATGAGCCCAATCAATGATCATACTTAATACAATAACAGGCACTTCAAGTGTCTACAAGTTGCATGTAAATTTGACCACCTCTGTTGTATAGCATTCTTGTAATGCATTAGCGCCCTCTTGTGGACACAAATATACAACACCAACAGTCGTGACTTTTGACGTTTTAATTCTTCGCCGCGTGATTTTATATTAATCCTTCTATCATTATGTTATCAAAGTACTTTAATTCACTGTCTTATTGATGACTATTTTTTATTTTCTTGAGAATTTCCACGACGGACTTCCTTTAACGGAAATGACGTTGGTAAGTAAACAGAGCCGCTGTCATCTGGACAGATAAATATATTTCCAACGAAACTGGACATAATATCAAATCACGCGCTGACATCATTTCATAGCAAGGAATGGTACATCGGTTTGTGTTTGAGGAACTGAGGCTGATTACGCTGAAGGTTACTGAGAAAACGAAATGTTCTAATCCACCTGCCGCGCAGGTTCTTGCTAGCAGCTCGTTAGCCACGGTTAGCAATTTTCATGCATTCGGCTACGTCATCTGAAGGAAAACCTCACGATGGTTATGAAATAGTGCATGCGTATTCCTGATCATTTTACTTGTACATATACACTTGTCTGTGTCACAAAGATCAGCTGTGGCGATCCACTCTTCTGTTTTAAAAGAGCGATCTAATCAGCTTCACTCAGCCTCAAAATGTTGATTGTGTTTGAACACTTGTTGTTATAATCACCAACAGGTTTTTCCAAGGACAGGTGTGAGACTGCATGTTCACAGACATGGACTTTGAATTAGAGGAAGATAACTTGTAAGTTCATCATCCATCCCGTTCTATTGTTACACTTGAAAATACGTGTCACCCAGTCCACAGTTTTACGCGTTTTATTGGGCAACCTTTACGTCATACCTGCAATGCCTATCCTCTGTTGTTGTTTTTTAAATACAAGTGTTGCATAATTTCTCGGGTTTCTAGTCACATTTGTGGTTTAAGAACGAATTCTACCACAAGACCACCTGGAGTGACAAATCTTACCAAAATATGTATGTACTGCACTTTAACATGCTGCATATATAATAGTAATAGAATTCTTCCTACCACAGAGGGATACCAACAGTACCAGGGACTGTGTGTCTGAAAAAAGATGCAAATAACCTGATTGGGATAAGCATTGGTGGTGGGGCACAATACTGTCCCTGTCTCTATATTGTTCAGGTAGGTGCAGTTTCAAGAACGTAAAGTATGACATGTGTTGCAATGTGATTTTTGTCACATTTCAATGTACTGCTAAGTTCTTAGAAATGTCTCCTCTGGCCTCCCAGGTGTTTGACAACACACCGGCAGCTCTGGAAGGGATGCTTGCAGCAGGTGATGAAATCACTGGCGTCAATGGTAAACCGGTGAAGGGAAAGACAAAGGTGGAAGTGGCCAAGATGATTCAAGCTGTACAGGTACACTTTACTATGGCATTACTCTTGTTAATTTTTCCATTCCCTACCGTATACAATTATATGTGTCACTATGCATGTGAAATGGGAGGATTGGCAGGGTCACTGACAATGGTAACATTGCAAAGGACACAAAATTTCCTAATCGTTACATATAACAGAAATGTGTAAAATGAGATATAAAAGATGACTTACAGGTTTGAGTCCAGTTTTGACTAAGCAAGAACAGATCCAACGGTGCCCAATGACTCCAGTTTGCAATGCAGTGCAAAACATCTCAGCACAATATGTGCAGAGTTGCTGTGTTGTTTTTGCCACCCATTGTTGGTGAGCAGGGAATTTCATGACGTCCTGCATGCTGGGATAAAGACGGGTTTAGCGTGTGAAACAACGGATTACCTTTTCCTGTCAAAGAATTTGCGGGAAAGCCCACCCAGTGTTACTTTATGACTAGAATTTTTTATTTTGCCAAACACAAATATTGTTTTGAATCACCACTCATCATGCTGATGCCATAAACACATTCGGCGAAGGACCATGCATTTCTGGTTCATCTTTTTTTCTTTCTATCTCCTTTGTCAGGGTGAAGCAATCATCCATTATAACAAATTGCAAGCAGACCCAAAACAGGGCAAGTCTCTGGACATAGGTTTGTGACACGCTGACACACCCACCCATTCAATTTGTGCATCCCGATTCCACGTCTTAACTAGAAGCATACACGTCATTATTTCAGTGCTGAAGAAAGTCAAACATCGGTTGGTGGAGAACATGAGCTCCGGCACTGCAGACGCTCTCGGCCTCAGCCGAGCTATTTTGTGCAACGGTAAGGCGGTAAACTCAGCTCTAAACTTGTATGGGTTTTAGTTGATGAATTCATGAAACATAGCATATTTAATGTGCAGATGGACTTGTTAAAAGACTGGAAGAACTGGAGAAAACGGCAGAGCTTTACAAAGGTAAAGAATCAGAACAATACTGAATATTTTATAGCTCCTTACATTTGGTCTGACACCCGTATCGTTTTTTTTTTCCCCCTCGTAATAATAAGCACATGGATAACCGACAGTCATGTGTTTAAGTTTGCACGTTCGGTTCTTCTTCTGCTTTCCTGCAGGTCTAATGGAGCACACCAAGCGACTGCTCAGAGCCTTTTTTGAGCTTTCACAAACCCACAGAGGTGAGGACCGGAGTGGACATTTTTCCCACTGAGCATCCACATTAACTGCGTTGATTGTTTCAGCGTTTGGAGATGTTTTTTCCGTCATCGGAGTGCGAGAGCCCCAAGCCGCAGCCAGCGAAGCTTTTGTCAAGTTTGCCGATGCTCACCGCAACATTGAGAAGTACGGCATTCAATTGCTGAAGACGATCAAGCCTGTGAGTCCAGGATTTGAGTCATGCTTTTTGCCTTTATAGATATAGAGATAATCATGGGATGTTCCTTTGTAAAACATCTCTGAAATCATTTGATCTTCCCTTCGTGTCCCTCGTACAGTGAAACCCCACTGTTAGGATGGTGCCGCAAAAATTAATTTAATACCCAACTGCAAATATGTGACTCAACTATATTTCTGTTCATCTCGTCTGGAATCATGTTCAGAGTTGTAACAATGAGTTTTGTGCTGTACAGATGCTTCATGATTTGAACACCTACCTGCACAAGGCCATACCAGACACAAAGCTCACTATACGCAAGTACCTGGATGTCAAGTTTGAATATTTGGTAAGTTGACTGACTGCATTCTGTCCAATAGTGAAACTTCCAAAGCTCCTCATGGTCAGTTGACCGAGAAACACCAAATCATTTTGTCTTGCAGTCATACTGCTTAAAGGTGAAGGAAATGGATGATGAAGAATACACCAGCATTGTAAGTTACGGTTCAGAAATAGAGAAATTCATTTGAGGATGTATGTGCAACTCGAATGGATCGTCAGGGTCATTTCACCAATGTTCCTGCCAACAGGCGATGGGAGAACCTCTGTATCGTGTGTGCACCGGGAACTACGAGTACCGTTTGGTGCTGCGGTGCCGACAGGAGGCTCGTGCGCGCTTTGCTAAGATGAGAAAAGACGTACTGGAGAAGATCGAACTTTTGGACCAGAAACATGGTTGGTTAGCGTTTTCTCCCTCCCCCCCAATTTAATCTTATCTAAATGATATATTGAGAAATGGACCAGTTTAAAGCGTATTTCATATTCTTGCCAGAAGGAACATCAGTCATAAAACAAACCGGGTGCATTGGTAAATAATGAACGGCAAATATGTGGGTGGTTGCTGCAATACTGTCAAACCACCAAGCTCCCCCGCAAAAAAATCCCCGTTCAGTTTGCAATTTTGAATTATAACTACTCTAATAGTAAAAAAAATCTAATCTTTTTGGCTAACAAATGTTTCGCTTCGACTGGTCCAGTTTATCTAACGTCCAATGGCCCGTTCTATGGTGTCCACTAAAATTTGATTCAACCACCATGTTACTGAACAATCCCTCTCTTCTTTGTTTCATCTAGTCCAGGACATAGTTTTCCAGCTGCAACGCTTCGTGTCAGGCATGTCCCGTTACTACGACGAGTGCTACGCCGTGCTCAAGGAGGCCGACGTGTTCCCCATCGAGGTGGACCTCTCCCGCACGACCATCAACTACACCAGCCAGTCATTGACTTACACTGATGAGGAGGAGGTAGAGGATTGTGCAGGAGGAGCGGAGGAAGGAGGAGCCTGTGAAGGCATCCAAGTAGAGAACGGAAGTGAGAAATTGATCGATGATGAATGATGACCGTCAGGTGTTTTGGTGCACGTGAAGAAATCGGTCCATCTGTCGGTCATGGTAACTCCTCGCTATTAGCGCACTGATTTTCAGAAGGGATATCAGCAGCTGAGTTGGGTCAAGACTACTAACATATTACTGCTCTAGTTCTTTATGTTCTTTTTTTAATGTTTTTTTTTTTTTTTAAATACTTTGTTCTCCACTCATCAGTTTCTTGCTGAATGAGTTTGACACGAAAGCCAACAGAATTTGAATGTTACCGCCGCTGCAGTGGAGAACTCATCTAATTTTGAGCTGTGCCTTCTTATTTAATTGTGTGTCAATATGGCGGGTCTGGATGGGCTGTGTAGTCTGGTTCAGTGATGTTTACTTGTGATTGTTACGTTTTTATTTACTATCAAAGTGGGCCAACAGAGGTGGTGCCACAGCTGTTATCACTCTCCTTTTTCTGTTTTACAATGCACATTTTCAGCTGCGCGAAAAAAGAAATCTTTGCAACGAAAGATCATGCGTTTACCGTCCACTTCTTGTAACGTTAACTTCTTCCTAAGATCAGAAAAGTTAGAGGATGCTCGCGTGATAAAAATGCAAACACTACTTGTAAATATGAATGTTGAAGGGAAATATTGCTCCAATATTGTAACTATCAATGTTGTATTTATTCTTTTTGCCTTCTTGCCAAATATGCTTATTCAATAAAAATAATATTTTAACGCCCACGTTTGTGTTTTTAATAAAACGACAGTTCGTGATGCTCTCCAAGGAAAACGGTCACTTCAATGTGCCCCGTGACAAAAATGACTTTGCCACCCCTGATTTAGAGTGTTCCATTAACCTGCCATACATTTTTTTTTGGAATGCGGGAGGAAACTGGAGTACCTGGAGAAAACCCACGCAGGCAGGCACGAGGAGAACAGGCAAACTCCACACAGGAAGGCCGGAGCCGGAATCGAATCCTGGACTTCTGCACTGCGATGCCGACGTGCCGCCCCTCAAAGACATAACACAATTATATTTACTTAGAAACATGCTGGGACGTGCGTGGCATTCACCATCGCTACAATATCGTTGCTGACGTCACACATACTGCCTGCTGGGAACCAAGGACATTTTATGTGTTCATTTTGAGTTCATTTCTCGCTTGCTTGTTTCCATGGGTTATTACCCGGTATTAATATGTTTATATAGAATCAAAGGTGGGGGCTATGTTTAAGTGCCCCAGTGGCCTAATGGATAAGGCACTGGCCTCCTAAGCCAGGGATTGTGGGTTCGAGTCCCATCTGGGGTGTTTACTTTTCGTTTTTCCACAACCAAAATTCTCCGACACTTCTGAACGTTTCTCCGCCATTTTAATTAATCGTCGCGCGTCTTGTGCAATAACACGGCAATGTTTGTATTGTATTGTTTATTGAACATATATAGTACATACAATAACAGATTGACAAAATGCAAACAAAAGTCATAAAAGGAAAAATAAAAGTAAGTAAAAACAAACATCATCACAGTTATATGCTCAATGTTGTGACTCATCGCGCGATCACGAGATCCACAACTTGTTATTCCTTCTTTTGCCACCTCGCGACTCACTTGGATCAGAAATCACGTCTTGTCTTTTGACTGTCTCCGTGTTCCGGACTTCCTTTTCAGGGACGGCCGATTGTCTGCTGGAATGCACACCGGGCTCACCCTCTCGCTCAGTGGAACTATGATCTTGAAAAGATTTTGTGTTTTTGTGTTACTCAATGCGGCGTTGAATGTCTCCTCTGCAGCCGGGGGTAAGTAGGTCATACAAATTGTACTTTGTGACCTGGGGTGAATCCCTTTCGTTTCTCTAGGGTCACATGACAATTATGTTTGAAAAATCAGGAGGTCCTCCTACCTGTGAAATGCATTTTTAACTGTAATTTATGTTTAGAATAAATAGGACGATACCTTTGTGTGTTTGTGTGTACAGTATATTACGCGTTTTAACCATTTAGTAGCTTCACAGTGAGAATAAATACTCAAGTAAAGTAGTCTCCAGATTGGCTACTTTGAGAAATCTTAAGTACAGTACAGGAACAAAGTACTTTGTTACTTCCAACCATGAGCTGCACGAGATGGCAAAATATTACAAATACTATTATTACACTGAGAACTACAACGACAGTCAAATAAAGTAAGAATAAATATAAATGATAAAGTTGAAGTGAATACACCGTACATGTGTACCTAATATGGTGTCCAGTTAGTCACTATCAGCACTCAGCGCACGTTCTCCAAACTTTTGAATCCATTCACTTCAGCAAGCATCATTCTGCCAACCGTTGCACGGTATTTGTTGTGTGTCCTCCAGAGGTGACAAAAGCCACGGTGTACTGGGACGCCCAACAAAAGACCGTCCTGCTGAAGGACGGGGTCCTAGATTTAAACGGGGACGCATATGGCTTCCTGAACGACACCTGGCCCAGCACAGGCTGGAGTGTCCTCGAGATCCGAGCTGGATATGGAGAAACATCAGAGACTGATGAGATCACCTTTTTCTTGGCGGGGTACCTCGAAGGTTTTCTCACCGCTCAGTAAGTATAACAGACATGACCCCATGTTCCTACAGAACATAATTTGAAATGCTTTAAATCACCTTTCAGACTTTGACTTTCGACTCGTTTATCTCTGCAGACAGATGATGGATCACTACACCAACATCTACCCTCAGCTCATCCATGACCCCAGCATCCTGGGCCGCGTTGAGAACTTCATAAAGTGAGTCTCCAAAAACAACCGCTGCGCCACGAGTTCCTCGCATACCTTTTGGCATGTGACCTTTGAGTGACAACATCGAGCTGCGAACAACATGTGACTCTGCTCGGTTCTCCCAAGGCAGCAGGACTCTTGGACCAGAGCACAAGTGAAAATGAACCAGAGTTCTGACCCTCTATGGAAACATGCGGGCTTCATTGTGGCCCAGATGGACGGTCTGCAAGCTGGAGTTGCAGAATGGGCCAAGAGACAAGGGAAAAAGGTGTTACGAGCATACTAGTATTTTTTTTTTTCTCTTCAGTGGGAAATCCATTGATCCATTTTCTAATCCTCATGAGACATATACAACCATTCACGCTCACAATGACACCGAGGGACAATTTGGAATGTGGGAGGAAACCGGAATACCCGGAGAAAACCCACGCGGGGCCGGGGAGAACATGCAAACTCCACACAGGGGGGCCGGAGCCGGAATCGAACACTGCACCGTGAGGCCGATATGCTAACCAGTCGCTCACCGTGCCGCCCTCAGTGGAAGATCACAGATATAGCAGCGTAGAAAATTTTTTTCGAGGCCTAAAGAAGGCGGAACTTTTTATACAAGGGAAACATCGTTTTTTTGTAACCCTTTTAAAAGGAACAAAAAAAATGCTGATCTGAAAAGTACTGGCTTACAGTTTTGGGGAAGTACAGTAAACACTTTTGACAAGAATGCTGAGGATGCCATTATTTTCATATCCAATCAAACTGAGAGTATCAAACTTGCAATATAGACATTTTGTTGTCATTTTATTCCCCGTGATTCGTTTGCGCAACCTTGACTTTGTTGAACTCCTTGTTTTCTAAAAAGCCGAACATCTGCTGTCATTCCCACAGCCAATGTCCCAGTTTGCCATTCAGTTCCTGAACGCGGTCGGAGACCTGCTGGATCTGATCCAGGCCTTGACCCCCACCTCGCCTCACTTTCAACTTCCAGGGATGGGCCACTGCTCGGCACTCATCAAGGTCAGGGACCAAAGGGGCTATTAATTGCCGTGAAACATCCCAATGTTTTACCAAAACATACACACTCAACTAAAAAAAGCTCTTGCATGTTTTTTTTTTTTTGTTGTTGTTGTTTTTTTGACAACAGGTTTGAAACCTTCATTCTCCAAAATTAAGCACATTGCATTTTTGAGGAGCTTAATTTCGACAAAAATATTGCTTTGCTACCATCTTGTGACATCATACAGGCAATTCTCAACCTTTTTAGGGGAGCCTCATTAAAGTATAAAGCAATTTAGAGCCTTCGCGTAACCGAACATGTTTTTGGAACGTGAAAGGAAGCCAGAGGTCACGGTTAGGACATGCGTACACCGGGCAGAAACTCAAGTTTGGAAATCCTCAATTCTGATCCCTCTCCTCAGATGCTCCCGGGCTTTGAGAACCTCCTCTTCGCCCACTCCAGCTGGTTCACGTACACGGCCACCATGCGCATCTACAAACATTGGGATTTCCACATCGCTGAACCCCACGCGGCCACCGGGAAGCTCTCTTTCAGCAGCTACCCCGGTAGGCGCGAGGAATTCTCCAGTCCAGCAAAATTGCGTCTCATATACCCATGAAGGCTCTGAATGCCTTTCTCAGGTTTCCTAGTGTCCCTGGATGACTTCTATCTCTTGGGAAGCGGTCTCATGATGACCCAGACCACCAACAACGTTTTCAACTCGTCCCTCTTTGACCAAATCAGCCCTAAAAGCCTGCTGGCCTGGCAGAGGGTTCGACTGGCTCACAGCTTGGCTCATACAGGGGAGGAGTGGGCCAAAATTTTCTCTCAGTACAACTCCGGTAAGTGGGCAAGGCAACCCCAGCCTGAACGGGACATGCGGTCTAGAAACCGGATGGGTGGCTGGTTCTACACTAAACATTTTTTTCTAAATCTTCAAATGTCTGTTGCAGGTACATACAACAACCAGTACATGGTGTTGGACAGGAGCAAAGTGAAGCTGGGCTACGGTATTTCCGATGGCGCTTTAACTGTGGTGGAGCAGATTCCCGGCCTGGTGGAATACTCAGATCAAACACAAGCACTACGACAAGGTAAAAACAAACGTTGTTGGATAACACTTTTTTTTTTTTTTTTTTATTCTGTCATTTGAAGACTCGATCTGCTTTTGTTTACCCCCTGCAGGCTACTGGCCCTCTTACAACGTTCCGTTCCACCGAAACATCTACAAGCTGAGTGGGTATGACGTGATGTGGCAGCAATACGGAGAGGATTTTTCCTATGATCTTTGCGCAAGAGCCAAAATCTTCCGCCGTGACCAAGCCGATGTCAAGGACCTGGATTCTTTAAAGCACATCATGAGATTCAATGGTGGGTTTTTGTCTCGCCCCCCGGAACGGTTCCTCTTATGACATGCATAGTGCTGCTATTACGTGTCTATGATTGGCTCATGTCGTCGTGGACTTGACGGCCGTTTCCACCAACCGTTCAATGGAGTGCAAGTACTGTCGTGTTGTTTTGAGGTTCCTGGGCAATGGAGAAGGGAAACGCAGAAACAGTTCACTGACACGCAGCCGGAGTGCTTGTCCTGGAACAGAGCTGGGAGGCTGGAGTCCAAGGCAGAACTGAAGTCCACAAACGTGACCTCGGCTTCATTTCCCAGGGAGTCAAGATGTTGCACCGTGGAGGGCTTGTGGTCAGGTTGTCCGCATCATCCACATGCGGACAACGCAAACCGTTGTTGGCTCTGCAGGCAAACCGCAGCGCGTCCAGGAGGGAGGTGGGGGACTTCAAAAGCAGGCTGGCACACGGCGAGTCTCCAGTGAGGCTTTGTGTGAGGACATATTTGTTCCAAGATTGCGGGGCGTGTCGCATTTGGTGATTTGTCTAAGTCGTCTCCAAAAGCCACAAAGCTGCTTTGCCAAGAACCCTGTTTGGAGTCTCTGTGAATACACAAAATGAGCATTTCTCACCTTTCTGCTAAACTGGTATTTTGCCACCTTGTAGCTGCTTTTGTATTTGCTTTTCCTCCTCCGAGCTGATCTGTGAAGCACACCTTGTCATCGTCGCGACACACCCTAGCGTGCATCCATACAATGCACTCTTCACAAGAAGGTAAACTATGAGGACCAGACTGTCTGTCGCATCCCTGAACACCCCGCTAACTCTTGTCGTTTCCATATCGGTGTGTAGCCCCTCCACGGGCTCCACCTCCTTGAGGTCCAAGCAAGGTCAGGCCTGGTTTTGAATTAGACGGGAGGCCAACTGTCCATACTGGGTGTGGTCAGCTGACGTAGCCTTCGGGGTGTCAGTGAGCCCCAAGTCTGAATGAATCGGGCGGGTTGGATTCCAGATCTATTTGTACCTCAACGTGCAATTTTCCGATGCAAGTATATAGACGTCGCATATGCCAGTGACGCTGACCGTCACTTTTTTTTTTTTCCTTGTCAGACTACAAGAACGACCCATACTCCGAAGGCAACCCCTGCAAGTCCATCTGTTGCCGAAAAGACCTGAAGACGGAGGAACCTTCACCGGGCGGTTGCTATGACACTAAGGCAAGTCCCGTGGCGCGCTTCTTCTCGATGATCAAACATGCCTCTTCAGCTCTTTTTTTTTCTGTGAGCAGGTGACCGATTTCCAAATGGCGGCGGAGTTCCGCGCGGAAGCGGTGAACGGGCCGACGACACAAGGTGGACTGCCGCCGTTCACGTGGGACGACTTCAGCGACTTCGGCCACCGGGGTCTGCCGCAGTACTACAATTTCACTTTCGTCACGATGAAGCCCCTCCTCTTCCGCCCTTAACTGATCTCCCGGCAAGGAAACTTGCTGCTCTTAAAAGGCATTTAAAATGAACGTGCCCGACGTGAACCACATGGTGACTCCTTAGACAATCAATAATTATGGCTATGAAAAAAAATTGTATAAAAAGGATACAATTTAATGCTATGACTTTTATTATGAAATAAAATTTGATGATTTTTTTTTTTTTAAAGCCACATTAACAAGGAAAGGTTGTGCAATACTTGTTGGGGGTTGAATGTTTTTTATGGAGACACGAAGCTGCGTCTTGTGTCTTATTATAAAATGTCTCCCAGCACAGACAGGGTATGTTTTAATTTCAGTCATTTTAGTCTTGCTCTTACGCTTTAACTAATCAATCAAAGATGTCTCAGGGTAAAGTGAGTCCGGATCTTCGATGCCTTCAACTTGGAAGTTTTGCATCTATAACTAGATTTGATAAAATGCCAGAGCAGTGCAGTCAGACTGTGAGTGCCAATCATCATTTTTGCCATTCAAGTTGTGTTTTTTGTTTTCATAATGAATGAAGCCGTGGGCTCCGTGCTCAACTCTCAGGGCTCTGCTGCAATGACTGCATCGATTTCTCAGCCCGTTTCAGGGTTAGGAAATTTACATCCACACTTTCAGCTTGACGCGGTGCTGCACGTTGGTCGCATTTGACGAATAAAGTCTTGAAGTCGGACCTTTTGCCGTCCTGTCTTTTGTTTTGCACTGCATAAATGACGTCGTGTCTATGCATGGAGTTTTAGACATCGTCCCGCGTGACTGCTGGCATTATTGGTTCTTGTACGCAAACTATTTAACAAGGGTCAGCGTGTTGACTTTTGTTGATGACCAACTTTTGTCTTTTTCGCCAATTGTCAGGCTAATCGTTCGAACATCTACATGAAATTCACAATGTGAAGTCAGGAACTCTGGTCCGTTGGAGCAGAAAGAGAGCAAGCCGTTTGTCTCTTTCTTTTCCCCCCCCGAGCTGATCTGTGAAGCACCCCTTGTCATCGTCGCGACACACCCTAGCGTGCATCCATACAATGCACTCTTCACAAGAAGGTAAACTATGAGGACCAGACTGTCTGTCGCATCCCTGAACACCCCGCTAACTCTTGTCGTTTCCATATCGGTGTGTAGCCCCTCCACGGGCTCCACCTCCTTGAGGTCCAAGCAAGGTCAGGCCTGGTTTTGAATTAGACGGGAGGCCAACTGTCCATACTGGGTGTGGTCAGCTGACGTAGCCTTCGGGGTGTCAGTGAGCCCCAAGTCTGAATGAATCGGGCGGGTTGGATTCCAGATCTATTTGTACCTCAACGTGCAATTTTCCGATGCAAGTATATAGACGTCGCATATGAGTGTGACGCTGACCGTCACTTTTTTTTTTTTCCTTGTCAGACTACAAGAACGACCCATACTCAAGGCAACCCCCCTGCAAGTCCATCTGTTGCCGAAAAGACCTGAAGACGGAGGAACCTTCACCGGGCGGTTGCTATGACACTAAGGCAAGTCCCGGTGCGCGCTTCTTCTGGATGATCAAACATGCCTCTTCAGCTCTTTTTTTTTCTGTGAGCAGGTGACCGATTTCCAAATGGCGGCGGAGTTCCGCGCGGAAGCGGGGAACGGGCCGAGGTCTGCCGCAGTACTACAATTTCACTTTCGTCACGATGAAGCCCCTCCTCTTCCGCCCTTAACTGATCTCCCGGCAAGGAAACTTGCTGCTCTTAAAAGGCATTTAAAATGAACGTGCCCGACGTGAACCACATGGTGACTCCTTAGACAATCAATAATTATGGCTATGAAAAAAAATTGTATAAAAAGGATACAATTTAATGCTATGACTTTTATTATGAAATAAAATTTGATGATTTTTTTTTTTTTAAAGCCACATTAACAAGGAAAGGTTGTGCAATACTTGTTGGGGGTTGAATGTTTTTTATGGAGACACGAAGCTGCGTCTTGTGTCTTATTATAAAATGTCTCCCAGCACAGACAGGGTATGTTTTAATTTCAGTCATTTTAGTCTTGCTCTTACGCTTTAACTAATCAATCAAAGATGTCTCAGGGTAAAGTGAGTCCGGATCTTCGATGCCTTCAACTTGGAAGTTTTGCATCTATAACTAGATTTGATAAAATGCCAGAGCAGTGCAGTCAGACTGTGAGTGCCAATCATCATTTTTGCCATTCAAGTTGTGTTTTTTGTTTTCATAATGAATGAAGCCGTGGGCTCCGTGCTCAACTCTCAGGGCTCTGCTGCAATGACTGCATCGATTTCTCAGCCCGTTTCAGGGTTAGGAAATTTACATCCACACTTTCAGCTTGACGCGGTGCTGCACGTTGGTCGCATTTGACGAATAAAGTCTTGAAGTCGGACCTTTTGCCGTCCTGTCTTTTGTTTTGCACTGCATAAATGACGTCGTGTCTATGCATGGAGTTTTAGACATCGTCCCGCGTGACTGCTGGCATTATTGGTTCTTGTACGCAAACTATTTAACAAGGGTCAGCGTGTTGACTTTTGTTGATGACCAACTTTTGTCTTTTTCGCCAATTGTCAGGCTAATCGTTCGAACATCTACATGAAATTCACAATGTGAAGTCAGGAACTCTGGTCCGTTGGAGCAGAAAGAGAGCAAGCCGTTTGTCTCTCGGGACCGGTGCGTGGACTGCATTTCATCGCATTCACCCCTTCCTGTGAAATGGAGGAAGTGAAACGTCTGTAAGGCGCCCGGTGTTATTTTCATATAAGAGTGGTTGCCTTCATCCACGAGGTCTCACTTTTTTTTTTTTTTCCTTGTTCGCATTTGTAAAAGTTACTCCTGCTGCTTGCAGAGATGACCAAGAAGAACTGTCCTCCTGGCACAACATGGGACAACCTTGTCAACACCTGCATCCGAGGTTGGGCCGAAACACGACCTGAACCTCCAACAGGTGAGAATAACAGAGCAATGTTGTGTGCCTCTTATTTATTTTATTATTTTTTTTAAATCGGCGACTTGGTATCATTCTGCTGCTATTCATATCTATCGACCATTGTTCCTCTTTAAGGCAATGTTGATATTTGTCCTCATGCCATCGTAAAATAACACAAAGACGATGTTGAGCTGCAAATGTAGTTTTTCTTCTTTTTTTAACTTGTCCTTTCATGTATTCCCAATAGAGTTGACCCCAGTTTTCCATCAGAGAAGCACATCTCCTGCTGCAAGGGCGGACCCGGATATCGCTCTGAATCCGGTTCTGTGGATTGTGGTGGTTTTGACCACCGTGGGGTCCATCATGGCTTTGGCTCTCTGGTTCATCATATACAAACGACAGAGCAGGCTCGGTAGAACCTCGGGTATGTGTGCAATTCCATAGTATCGATGCAGCGGAAATACAGGACGGCACAACGCGTTTTGTTGATTTTTTGTTGATTGTTTATTCCAACTTTCTCTCACATTCCAAAAACACATGGCCGAGGTGCCTATGTAATAGCATTTTATTGAATAATTTTACTCTTATCGCAGTGAGCTCCTGCCATCTCAAAAAGTCATTTTTCTATGGTTATCGTCACTTCTCCATCGCCAAAAAGCAGCAGCACTGTTTAGTTATAGTGTTCGCGTTTAAATGGCACGCCTGGGCTCTGACTCAGAGGACAGGCGTCTCAGGAGTATTTTGGAGGAAGTGGGCTAGCGGGTGCTGGGGTGTAACACTGCCTGATGGGAGAAACAGCGCAGTTTCTGTTCTTCTCTCGGGCCTCCCATGGGTCAACCCCACTCTCTTGCTTGTGACTCGAGTTCTATTCTTAGCAGGAGATCAAATGAGATCTCCTGGTGAACAGCACATGAAGTGACAGTCAAGGTGATCTCGAACAGTAAGTTATACTAAAGCTGTTAGAAGAGGCCAGCCTGTCATATCTTATGTTCAAAAAAAGTCGACAAAATCCTAAATCCAAAAGTCTGAATTTAAAGAGCTATGCTCAATTTTTGCAGCACAATCAAAAATCAAACGAAAGGAGAAACGAGACTCGCCCATCGGTAAATTGAGACGATGCAAACTGGGGTTAACCGTTACTTGCTTTTTTAACTCAGGGAGTGTATGAAATTAGATTAGCATTTGAAGGAATTCCGCGTAATTTTACAAACGCTTCACTGTTGTTGCACACACAATGAAAAGGACATGACCCTAGAACACAACACAATGCCTTTGCTAACTGCCCTAAGAATATGGAGTATTGTTAATCTGACACAATTGAATAGAAATCATACCAAAGTATTTAGTGAATTGGTATCTTTTCATTGGAAATAGTACGAGAGTTGAACGCCTCAGACATAACCTGTGTTTTATATTCATAGCTATATTTCTCAAAATGAACTGATGAGATGATAAATGTAAACGAGTTTCAAAATACTCAATTAATATTAAGAAGACAACTTGTTAAGGTTGTGGGGTTATTATTCTCCTCTCAATGTTCGTTTTCCCGTTTTGCTCTGAGTCGCCCCCAGGTGGCGCAGGAAGGAAGTGAGCAGGGACGTGCACGCCTGGTGACATGAGCACTAAACTTCTAGTTTTAAGGCTTAACGGCGTAACAGAATTGCGTTGAATCGTTCCTTCTTTTGTTTTGATTATCAACACAATGCCTTTGCTAACTGCCCTAAGAATATGAAGTATTGTTAATCTGACACAATTAAACAGAAATCATACCAAAGTATTTCGTGAATTGGTATCTTTTCACTGGAAATAGTACGAGAGTTGAACGCCTCAGACATAACCTGTGTTTTATATTCATAGTTATATTGTGCTTTCTCAAAATGAACTGATGAGATGATAAATGTAAACGAGTTTCAAAATACTCAATTAATATTAAGAAGACAACTTGTTAAGGTTGTGGGGTTATTATTCTCCTCTCAATGTTCGTTTTCCCGTTTTGCTCTCTATGAGTCGCCCCCAGGTGGCGCAGGAAAGAAGTGAGCAGGGACGTGCACGCCTGGTGACGTGAGCACTAAACTTCTAGTTTTAAGGCTTAACAGCGTAACAGAATTGCGTTGAATCGTTCCTTATTTTGTTTTGATTATACTGGGGTACAATCAGTCACGCACCGTAACATCTGCCGACAAGTGTTGCCGACTCGTGTTCAAATACCCATTGCTTCAACTGAGGGGTTGTAACACCACAACACAAGTGCTATTTGTTTGTCCATTTATGGTGTTTCACCCCGTGTGTTAAATTAAAGCCAATGGCTCTTGTGAAATATCGCCAAACACAAATACGCCCCGGCTCCACTACATCTCCAACTTCAATGTGCCATCAAGTACGTTACAGTATACATTTATGCTAATCTGTGCATCCAAGATTCTCCTCTCAATGTTCGTTTTCCCGTTTTGCTCTCTATGAGTCGCCCCCAGGTGGCGCAGGAAAGAAGTGAGCAGGGACGTGCACGCCTGGTGACGTGAGCACTAAACTTCTAGTTTTAAGGCTTAACAGCGTAACAGAATTGCGTTGAATCGTTCCTTATTTTGTTTTGATTATACTGGGGTACAATCAGTCACGCACCGTAACATCTGCCGACAAGTGTTGCCGACTCGTGTTCAAATACCCATTGCTTCAACTGAGGGGTTGTAACACCACAACACAAGTGCTACTTGTTTGTGCATTGATGGTGTTTCACCCCGTGTGTTAAATTAAAGCCAGTGGCTCTTGTGAAATATCGCCAAACAC